AGTAGTCTTGATTTGGTTGGGGTGTATTTTACAGTTGGGGTGTTATTTACAGTTGACTTCTAAAAATCATATTTACTTCAAAATACCTCTGTGGGTTCAATCACTTTTGCTCCCTTTCACACACTGCTTGTGTTGGCTCTTGCTGCTTTGAGTCCCTGTCCCCATGGGCAGCAGGAGACCTGTTAAAAGAAGGTGCTGCTGCTGCACTGTTTGCATGGCTGTGTGTGCCAGAATCACTGCTTGGTTGGTGAACAACTTGTTAGTGAAGGCCAAGAAAAGCAGTGACATGCATTTTAGATGTCAGTCTGATCAAAGCCACTGTTACCTTGACAGTTTTTCCCTAAGTTTTGGTGAGGTAATATGATAGCAGTGTGTACTTAACAGCTGTTCAACATAATACCTGTCTTTATGGTTTTGCTGCTTCTGTTATAAATGATGCCTATGAATCTTTTTTTTTTTTTTTGAAACAAAGTGCATGCAGAAAAAAAAAAATCTTTGAATTGTCTCCCTTAAGAAAGATTTACTCAAATGATTTTTTTCGCCCTTGCTGTCTTTCTGTATCAGATAAAACCATGGAGACTTATGAAACAAAATTGTGGTTGTTTTGTTGTACTCTGGGTTTTTTATGTATTTTTGGTCACTTCAGGAATAACAGGAAGATGATGTGGTTTTCTCAGTGTTACAAATCTGTTTGCTTCAGAGTTTAATGCCACCCTAATAATGTAATGCTTTTCTGTTCAGTCTCTAGCACTGATTTTTCTGACATTGTGTGGGATCATACCATTGTAATGAGTTTGTAGAAAAAAAAGTTGATGCAATGGAGTTGGCTCCATATTTTATGGCACATGCATGCTTTTATATGTGTGGGGAAGTGTTTTACTGAATACAAAAGAAATTGACTGCACAGACTAGAAAGGTAATGCATGGCTAAAAAAATCATATGGTCAATCTGTATTATTTAGGAAGAGGTAAAAGTGCTAAGTGGAGTGTGACAAGTAGGGATAGCTATTTCATTGGGCATAGATAGCCCTGCATGATTGTTGCTGTTTTAAACATTAAATGTATCAGAAGAAAGTTCTCTGCATAATAGGAATGCAAATATTGAGACTATTCAGTTTAGTCACTTGCTTGAATATGCGTTATATTTTGCAGTCTACAAACATTGTGGCTCTGAATCTGGTCAGCATTTTACCTAATATTTGTTTAGGTTTAAATAAGTTTCAAATAAACCTTTCTTCATTTTTAAGTGATGTCCTGGTTTTGGCTGTGATAGAATTAATTTTCTTCTTAGTAGCTGGTACAGAGTTGTGTTTTGGATTCAGTATGAGAAAATTATGTTGATAACACACTGATGTTTTAGTTGTTGCTAAGTAGGACTTACTCCAAGGCCAGGAATTTTTAGTGCCTCATGCTCTTCATGGTGAGGGGGTGTGCAAAAAGCTGGGAGGGAGCACGGCTTTGGTTCAGCTGAGCCAAACTGACCAAAGGGATATTCCATACCACAGAACATCCTGCCCTGTATGTGAGCAGGAGGTGGGGGTATGGGGAATTGGCCTGGGCTACAAATGCAGGTTGGGTGGGGAGTGTTTTTTTTGGTGGATGAGAAGTTCAAGATGACCCAGCAATGTGCACTCACAGCCCAGAAGGATGAGCATGCCCTGGGCTGCATCCAAAGCAGCGTGGGCAGCAGGGCAAGGGGTGGGGGGCTCTGCTGTGCTCTGCTCTGGTGAGAGCCCAGCTGCAGTGCAGTGCCCAGCTCTGGGCCTCCAGCAAAGAAACCATGGGCACCTGCTGGAGAGTCCAGAGCAGGGACACCAAGATGGTCAGAGGGCTGGAGCACATCTCCTGTGCAGACAGGCTGAGAGATTTCTGCCTGGAGGAGAGAGGGCTCCAGGGAGACCTTACACCTTCCACTACCTAAAGCGGGCTAAAAGAGAGTTGAGGAGGGGATTTTTACAAGGACACATAATTATGGGACAATGGGTAACTGCTTTAAACTGAAAGAGGGTGGATACAGATTAGATATAAAAAGAACTTTATTGTGAGGGTGGTGAGGCATGAGAATAGGTTGCCCAGAGATGTTATGGATGCTCAGTCCCTGGAAGTATTCACAGCCAGATTGGATGGGGCTTCAGCAACCAGTTGTGGTGGAAGGTGTCCCTTCCTGTGGTGGGGGGCTGGAACTGGATGGTCTTTAAGTTTCCTTCCAATCCAAACCATGTTATGATTCTGTGAAGATCAGAAATGCATAATGAAGGCCATGTAATATCCTCTCTAACAGGAAGCTTGTGGACTGGAGAAAGCCACAAGCTTTCTGATACTGTGATACTGTTACAGAGCAAACTAAGGAAATACGGCCTAGATAAAAAAAGCTATTTTAGGATATGTGTAAACTCATTAGGTTAACAGTAGCCAGAGGTTTTTCAGTAGTTCTCTTTAGTAATAAGGAAAGCATATTGTATGGGATTTTGTAAAATTGTTTCAGTTAACTGTTCTTGTTCATACTGGCTAATTAGCGTACGGTTATGAAATCTGAAGATGTGTTTGGGAATAAATGCAGTTACACAAAGATGGGATGGCAATTCAGAAAAATCTTAAATATTGGAAAGATGGCCTGGGAGAAGAGGATTTGATTTGGAAGAATAAATTGAATGCTTTATATTTAGGTCAAAATAAAATATGGAGAACATCTGTTAAGTTTCTCCTGCCATTCCATTCCTCACCATGGATTATAAAATGAGAGCTGACACTGCAGTATGGTTGACAAAGAAGAAGTGTGTGTATGTATTGACATGACTAATTGGTGGTATAATCTGGAGGATGTGGAGTTGAACCTTTTGCTTTGTTCTATATTATGAAATTCAAGTACTGTATCTGTTTTGGCCAGTGTACTTCAACAAAGATGTAGGCACACTTAATTTGTCTCAGGAGTGTAATGACTGATGATTTAGAAAAGGTGCTGTGTGCAGAAGGCATGATTGAATTGGCATTTTTGTAACCCAAAGAAAAGATCAAGGGAAATAATAAGCTTTTAAGTGTGTGGAAGCTCGCTACAAATAAGTGAACATCTGCCCTTGGTAGCTGTGCCGTGCTTACTAATGGCAACATGGGCCATTCCCTGTGTGTCCTCCTCTCACTGTTTGGCTTCTGGTTTTGTGTTTTGTAGGGACTGCTTCAGCATCTGGACAGCCCTGAGCAAAGAATCTTAGGATCCTTTGAAAAAATGTATAAATTAGCAAAATCACTAAAGTAAGGCTCTTCATCCAACCAGGCAGACGTAGAGAGAGATACTTCAGTTTAAACTTTAGAGCAGGTAGAAGAAAATTAGGTCCCAGACTTGCCAGCCACTTGGCCAGGAACAGACCTGTTTCCTCATCAGTAAAAATGGATCATGTTCTCCACCCACCTCTGTAAGACACCTGTGTTTTAGTGAAGAAAAGTGCTACACAAAAGGCTAATTTAACATAAGCAACATTCTTTTTTTTTTTTTTTTTTTTGTGTGGGTGTATTGCATGTTACACTGCAGTGTGTAGAGCCTAGTCAGATATATCCTGGAAATCTGTTTAACCTCTTGAAGGCAACAGCTTCAAGGCTTTGATAAAGGAGGCTGGGTCTCTTCAGAATGATGTCACGATCTATTATATTAACATGTTCAGAAAATAAACAAACATTATTTATGTTAGGTTTCCTGCTGGATGTATCTTGGATATTTTTTTCTGGCCCTTGAAACTTCTCTGTTTTTTTCAGATTTGGTACAAATTGGTATCATTTCAAGGAGCTCTTTAGCCAGTTCTATTAATAATCTTTAAGCCATGACATTTTCCCCTTCTACTTTGGTATGCAAAAAAAAAAGAGAGAAACTACCAAGTATTACACTAATTTTATCTGCTTCAGTATTGGGGTAATAATTAATAATTAAGTGGTTGACAAACACCTTTTCTATCACTGCCAGTCTTAACCTTCCTTACCCTTTCTCGATACTGTTGTGTTACCATATATGGTATCAGCAACTTTTTTTTTTTCCCTCCTTTGCACAAAGTTTTTCACCTAGATAGATACCTAGAGGTAACAGTTTAAACATGCAGAGCAAGAAACTTGACTAGCTCAATAGGTTCAGATATAATATGGCAAGTGCAAGATACAAGCTTGAATAATGTATGGTAAATATTACCCAAGTGTTGACAAATTTCAATTGCATTAAAAAATGAACAAATCTCTCTTGGATGTTAAGACATATTCTTTAGTTTTCAGCTGTTTAGAATTTCCTTCAGACATTGCTGTGTTAACTGGGCAAAGGCAGAGATTTGAAGGAATTCATTCACTATTGCTACAGTTTTAATGGAAAAGACTTGGACAGGCTCAGACATAATTTTTCAGGTGTCACTTTTTTTTTCTAGAAGTGAAAAAACGTTGCTTCTTAAGCGTCAAGTCTGTGTTACTGTAATAACACCTTTTTTTCCCAAAAGCTGTCATTATAAATGCTAATGTTTAACTTGTGGGCGAGAGATGAAAGAATGTAAAAACCCCTACATCTATAAACTAGAATATGTATAGGAAGATTTTGTCCAAAAGAGTGATCATCTGGGGAGCTACTCATGTGAATGTGTGCTGTTTTTGAGGAGGCTGTTTTCTTGCCTTATTGAGAACAATTCATAGTTTGTTGTGCTAAGTATTCATGATTGGATAGAGAACGACATATATAGAACTCAAAAATAGATAACAGCTTATTTGGGAGGACAGGCAGTCCTCCCACTTAAATCATATCATCTGGAAGGCTAAAAAATGTTGATGACTTGTTCCACCTCTCCACTCTTCCCTGCATATGTTGTTTTCCTCACAAGCACAGTTCACTGCCTCTTTTTAGAAACAGTCTTTGACTCCTTCTCCCTTGCATGGGATTTTAGATTTTGAAATCTTAAATGGAAACTTTCTTCCCCTTGCACCTCAAGCTCTGCCAGAACTGAGCTAGGAACTTATCTGAATTTCTGTTTTTCCTCCAGGACAGCCTTAAGACCTTTCTGGTGGAATACCTCTTTTGCTTCTACGTTCATGTTGGAATGGCCTAGGCCAGTCTGTTGCTGTACGGTTCCTGCCACAGGTGCTCTGCAGCAATGGGTCAGGATTTTGCCACCAGTGCTGCTGGACCATCCAGATGGCTGTAAACCTGCAGAGGAGGTGAGTACAAAATGTGTTCCAGGAATTTTTGGTGCTTTGGTCAGGTCTGTCTGCTTTCGGTGTGTTTCAGAGCAAAGGGACCACTTAGACTGCACGTGTGCTTTGCCACTGGATTGCACTGGGCTTGTGTGGCAGGGTTTTGCTAGTGACTTACTTAGAGGCAACTTCTCTGGGAAGCTGCTAGAAACTTCCCCTGTGTCCAGTGGAACCAATGGCAGTTATCTCCCAGAGGGACCTGCCACTGGCCAAGGCTGAGCCCATCACTGACAGAGGTGGAGTCTCTGGGGTACTGCATAGGAAACCCATGCTGGAGCAGTGTTCCTGAAGGGCTGCACCCTATGGAAGCAGTTCGTGAAGAACTGCAGCTCATGGGAAGGACTCAGGTTGGAGAAGATTGTCAAGGGCTGCTTCCTGTGGGAGCAGGGGAGAAGTGTGAGTAATCCTCCCTCTGTGGAGGAAGGAGAGGCAGAGCCAGGATGTGATGAGCTGATTTTAACCCTCATTCCCTGTTCCCCTGTGCTGCTAGGGGGAGGAGAAGGTTAAGAAGACCAGGAGAGAAGTTGAGCCTGGGAAGCTGGGAGGGGCATGAGGAAAGTTTTTTAAAGATTTGGTTTTATTTCTAATCCTAGTCTGATTTGATTGGTAATAAACTGAACTGATTTCCCCATCTTGAATCTGTTTGGCCTGTGATAGTGAGCGATTTCTCCCTGTCCTTATCTTGACTCACAAACCCTGTGTTATATTTTCTTTCCCTTGTCCAGATGAGGAGGGATGGGACAGTGACTTTGGTGGGCACCTGGAATCTAGCCAGGGTCAATAGTCTGCATGCATATTCCATATTTTACTGTTCCTTCTGTATCCTGTTGGACCAGTTCAGTTGTCTGCAGCTATTAAACAAGTTTCCTTAAGAATCTCTTTAGATGTTAGTGCAGACCTAATTAAACTGTTCCTGTGGTTTTCTCTGAGTATTGGGAAGCACAGTATTCAAGTGGATAAAGGACCTCATTATTAGTTTTTCTAAATTCACCTTTACCCTCTCAGAATATCTTGAAAAGAGTTATTTCGTCCAGTGAACTGGAATTCAGATCCACTTTCCATCCAGATGACCTAAGAAAGCCTGAGTTTTATTTTCTGTGTTTCTACAACAAACACAATCCCCTTAAAGCATCCTTGTCAGACAAGAGATGATTTATTAAACCACCACTGTGTAGTCATTGGCTGTGCAGTGAGGTGTTTAACAACTGAGCACTCCTGAAGCCTCCTCTCTGTATGCCTCTCCTACGCTTTTTTAAAGCTTGATTGAAGCAAGATGGAAAGCCAAAGTTTAGTGGGATGGACAGGCAAAGATGTGCTGTGACAGGTCCACTTCCTTTGGCAGAAAAGTTGAACCAGTGCAGTTGTATTTAGTGTGTTAAATGGTGTCCTGCACTTGGAGTCATTGGTATTGACATCTCGTGCTATTTTTTCATCCTGATTTTTTTCTTTCCTGAAACCTATTAGTAGTTTTCATAAATTAGTTTTTACAGATTGAGTTCTGAAGGACTCTTTGGGTCCAATTCTGGGGTTCAGGTTCAGCATTGTAAAACGGGAAAAGTGTGTTTCATGTTTGAGTGGGTCCTTTTCAGGTCAACTTCAAAAGATCTAACATGTAGTCTTAAATTCAGTCCTTCAGAATATATATATATATATATATATATATATATATATATATATATATATATATATGTATGAGTATAACTGGAACAAATAGCAGTTTAGAGGAGAGGAAAAAGTATATCCAAAATTACTACCTAATAGTCTTTAGTAGTAGAGGCTGATAAGAAAAAAAAAAATCTAGGGTAAAAAACAATATAGCGATTTTTTACTTCTGGGTTTACTTCTTTTGGCCACTCAAGTGGTATCTTCACTATTTTTTTTCATGATGGCCCAATCACCTCTTCTGTGGTTGCTGACTAATGTTGAGTTTAGTGAGAACACAGATTTGAGTAGAAATAACTTGTTTTGGAGAGAATACCTGATTGGTCTGAGTCTGCACTGAGAGACTAATGTGGCTGAATAAACACAATTGTTCCTGGTTCTTTTTCAGCTGTGTCAGTTCTCTGATTAAGTTTCTTTGTTGCTGTGTAGATTTTTGCTGGCAGAGCAGAAGGCTAGTGTGTTGGAATAGCAGCTACTTACACAGTAATAGTGTGCTGATAAATCTTTAACCATGGGCTGGCTTCTAAGGCATCTCTACTATCTCTCCTTGTGAAAATTCTAGAGCTTTCAGAGAAGGTGAAAATATTTCGGGCAAGGTATTGAAGAGTAATTTCAATTATCTTGGAGCACAAAATTTTAGAAGATGTTTTAAAAAATATCTGATCTTTGTAGCAGTGATGTTATTTCTCAAATTTCATGATTTTCAATTAATATATAGTTGAATTTCCAAAACAGCTCCATCACATTCCTTTCTTTAATATTGTCCGACAGATTGACCTTTTTCATGGTGACCTGTTTGTCTCTTGGCTTCTAGTCAGGAATTAATTTTGAATTGTAAAACAGCTCAAGTTGCTACAAGCTTTATACCTTCAAAAAATCATTTGATGTCAAATTAAATACACTAGCTGTTTTTTCATGAAGTGCCTGACAGTTTCTGGGGAAAAAAAAAAAGCAAAGTAATAAGCACCAAAGTATTGAAGAAATTTAAGTACTTCACTGAAGTCTGATGCATACCTGCCTTCCTGAATGTTCTGCTGATTTTTTTCCCTATGCAACTATGCAGAAAATTGTTATCATCACACTTATAGGTAACTGGGGAAACAAGTGAACTCTTCCACAAGATAATCTTTCTGCCTCAAATTGCATATCCCACTCTTCAGACTTCTCTGGACTGCTGTACAGCACAACAAATAAAAAATTGTAAATTTTATTTGCTCCTTTACCGTACTGATGTATTCTCCATATCATGATATGGCTATTTTATTTAAATTTGTCAAACTAGGATGAAAATGTACAAGTTAGGCTAGATGAAAAACATGTTTTGGAATCACTAGCTTTAAGAGTATAGTCTTGAATTTTAATGTCTGAGAGAATCTGCCGGTTTTTTTCCTAAGAAATATTTAAGAAAGAAAAAGAAATATTCAATAAATAAAATGCAGCAACATTTGAAAAGCATTTCTTACAGAATAATGAAACTTTAGCATTTTCTTTTGAAAATGACCTTGTTTAAATAATTTCCATGGCCTAAGTGAAAACTATTTTTTAAAGTTTTATTGATTTTTACTTTTTTACTGGTTTCTTCCATAAATTAACTCAAAGCATGATCAGTTTGTTCTTTTTTTTTAAAAAAAAGTGCAGATTTTTGAAGCTGTTAACAAAATAGGATTTTTATTTCTGTGGAACTCAGTTTATCTTTTCCATAGTGCTGCTTTTGACCAAATGTGACCTTGAATGTAAAGTTTATATTTATTTTTCAATTAAGTTGAAAGCTGAGAAGAGGTGTGTGCATGATCAATTAAAATCTCTGTGATTTAGCCCATATTTATCCACTTCTACAATTACAAATACAGATTAATTGGATGGGTGGATACTGTGTGCCCCTGGCTTTTTGAATCATATGTGCTGAATTATATTTCTTAGATAGGTGGGTTCTTCTGTCACTCTCTCCTGCTCTTCTTTTGGAGTTTTGAGTCCAGCAGTAGCAGATAATTTTCCATCCTGTCTCTACATTACCTGTTATCTTGATTTTTGTTGGTGTGTCAGCAAACTAGGAGATGCAGTGTAAGAGCAATGGGGTAGGAGGGGGCATCTGCTTGCAGGGACCTGAATTGGTCATGGCTGCTCCCTGCCAGAGTTAGGGATACTTTGCTTGCTTGAGCAACAAAGGGAAAGAGGCACTGAAAAGGAAAGGGAGGGTAGAACTCTGTGGTGAGAATGTCTCAGTGTGAAACCAGCCCCATTGGAAGGCTTTGTTCAAAAGTACTGATACTTCAATGTGAATTTTCTTGTGATGTCAGCATATAAACCTCTGTAGCTCACCTGAAGTCTGAATTCAAGAGTTTAGGCTCAGTTCCTGTGGAGATACCAGTACCAGTGCTTAAGACCAGGATTCCACATGGACAAAGATCCAGGACTCCAGTCCTGAAGAAGAGCTATTGCCATAACAGTCTGCTTGAAAGCTATTCTAGCAACTTCTCCCTATCAGTTTCTTCTTGTCTTGTCCAGTCTTGAAAGTGTTCTCAAGTTCTAAAGAATTTCCAGAACTCTGCATTTATTATTCTGCCTTTTTAGCTTTTTATCTGAGAGTTCTTTTCTTCTTGTTCCCCTCTTCAGTGTACAACTCAAAATTTGGATATTGCCTATTTTAGAAATAAACTTTACATGGAAAAATTGATGGATCTCATGGTTGAAGAAAATCTCATAGTTGTTCTTTTTATATCATGTGTACATTTGCATGGATTAACAATTAAAACAAAGGACATAAAAGTGTGGTATTTCTCAAATTTTTGTTGTCAGTGATCTCTGAAAAGACAGAATTAAGCAAAACTGCCTCTAAAACAAGTGAATCTAAGAGGGAGAGGGAAGAATGGATGTTAAGAATCTAATGTTTAGTGCAGTACTGTGTGTTAATTAAGCACAGAACAGTTGTTAGCAGCAGAAGCTACCTGCTGAGCACACAGCCTTGTGATGTGAGAACAGGCTTAGCTGGGATTGTGTGCTTAAAAGCTACATTGCCTTTCTCTATAAATACTGCCTTTTTGCTCTCCAGGTAGACTTTTTATTTGCCTATGGATATAAACCAAAGGAGCACAAGTTTTTGGGGGAAGCTTTGCAAAACTTTATTGTATCCCAAAATTTGACAGTGATAGCTTTTCTTTTTTTTCTCCATATCTAATCTGTCATTTCTTTCTAGAGAAAGAGAAACACCCACATGGGGGTTTTTTTGTTTGTTTTGTTTGGGTTTTTGTTGCTAGACTTTTGTTGATGGAGATCTGATGTTTTCTCTGTATTTCAAAAAGTGT